ATTTCATCTTACCCATATCAGGCGTTCTTATTTGCGATATACATTCTTCATTTATTCAGTTTCAACAAATTATGAATTATGAGATGATTGAGTGGGTCTCTAGCTTTTATTGGAGGTTTGCACATGCCAGACATGCACTGCCTGTTTCCCCTTGGCTAAGGTCCTGCAGTTGATCGTGTTTAGTTTTTACAAAGTTTTTATTGACTTCTGAGTAGTCGGATGACAGTGCTATAAGGGTCTAATAATAACAGACAGTTCTACATGTCTATAACTGTATCTATGAATAGTTAAGAATACCAGTGAGTGCCGCTATTAAGGTCTGTAAGGATACCAGACAACTATACACTGTCCATGACTGTATCTATGAATAGTTAAGAATACCAGTGAGTGCTGCTATTAAGGTCTGTAAGGATACCAGACAACTATACACTGTCCATGACTGTATCTATGAATAGTTAAGAATACAAGTGATTACTGCTAGTGCAACTAAAGTCTGTAATGGCAAGAGACAACTAACTCCACAAAGGCAGGTCTTGAGCTTTGGTGTGAAGTCTTTGAATGACTGTTTAACACTACCCCATTCAACGTTCCAACTTCTACACAGATAGTTTGATATTTCGTTTTTCGGCCAAAAAGTACCTAAAAGGGAATGTTAAAGCTGATATTTGACGAGCAATGACTTGATGAGCTATTTTCTTGTCGCTGAAAAACATCACACGAAGAAGCCGAAACTTGATAACGCGCGCGCCGGGAACGATAAAAAGGGCGGGAGTGCCGGGCTTTAACATCAGAGATCTGGTCGTTTTTATCGTCTCCAAGAATTAGGCGTTATTTATGTAGGGAGGAGGGGGGAGGGGTACATTTTTCAAAACAGACTGATAGGGGGTGTATTTTTCTTTGTAACACTGCTCCGTTGACAATAATATAAAACAATCCTTGTCTTAGGATAGACAAGTGAACTTTTTTTAAAAAAAAAACTCGGTCTGTACAGAGAAATATCAGACCTTGTTCTTGACTGTACAGACTTTACGTTCGTCCTCGCTCGATGTGCATATTACCCGAGGGGGGGAGTGAATTGTACCACCCCAACTCAGCTGATCATGTGCCGCAAGGACCCCAAAACCCTGACGCTATCCCAGACCTAAAATGTCGATTTTTCATTCCCCACCCCTGACTAAATCTAAGAATTTTGCATATCAAACAATTGATTCAGAGAAAAATTCCTTCGTTTGCCAAACTTTTACCGACCATATATGGTAATCTTACCTTATAAGGAAGTACGCTAGAAAGTTTTTTTTCAGCTTTTAGTGCTTTAAATTGTCTAAACTTTACAGAATTTGCAGAGAAATTGCTTTTCGACATGTCAGTGATTATAAATTTGTCCTAGTCCCCTCCCCTCATCGAAAATAAGGAATCCCACAAAAACAACAGGTAACCCGCGCGAAAGTGAGACACTTGTTTGATATGCACCTATTTAGTTAACTTTTAAACGGAATTTACATTCCTTTGGTGTCGACTGATAGCGCTGCTTATTCCAGACTAAAACCAAAACCTGACTCTATTCAAACCAACAGTTGTGCAATGAGGTAAATTTTAACACCGTTAAAAAAAGGAAGGTGAAATAACTTACTGACGTTCGGACCTCACTGGATCCTTCCCGACGAAGGCTTAACGTCCRAAACATCAGTAAGTTATTTTAGCTTCCTTTTTTTCAACGGTGTTAAAGTTTATCTTATTGAACGACTGTGTTAACGGTTTTAAATATATTTTAATAGCATAAGTGTTTCATTAGAGACACCGACGCAGCTCACACTAGTTTACTGCGTAGTTTCCACGATTTTGTTTAAATTGTAACCATCTCCCGAAGAAAAACCATACCCTATCCCAGACAAAATGTCAAAAATTGAAACCCTACCCCAGACTACTTAAAAGCAGCAAAACCATACCCTAGAGCGCGGCACAGTCAACTCCCCCCCCCCACCCCCTTTTCTCCGAGGCATAGTTCCATTGATGTTGCTTCCATCTGAAATACTGATATCATAACGGATAAATATTTACCTGAGATGAAGTAATCTTTGTTTAATGGGATGTCTGTTCCACAATCTCCATCAAAAACAGCTGTAGAAATGTTTACGTGCGATGTATCACCAGCTATCTCTTTRATTTTCTCTTTTCCTTTAAAGATTTCATGGACTYTCACCGTGAACACTCTTCTTTGCCTTAATGGCCTTGATATGTTTCCCGTCACAACACTCTTTACGACTGTACCTCGCAAAACTAAAGACAAAAGTGTAAAAAGCTAAAGAAATATGAAAATAAGTGATGCGATGAGGTCACAACGTCGATTAATTTTGCTAAGAAATGATCGTTCGCGAGAGTTATCTGAAAATGATTCCTTGATTGCTAATCTTCAAAATATTTCATAAAATGTACATAATATCCGTCGTATATTTTTCGTGATTTTTACWTTTCAACAMTGCAAAATACATTACTCGATTAACTGACCTGTCGAAATATTGTAATATTTTCCGCGTTTTGTTTTGATAACGGTCAACAGGCCATGTTGTTTTCCAGTTGAAACAAAAAGACAAATTTTCTTAATAGATYTAAAAGGTATAAAATAGTTTGTTTGAAAGTTAGACTTCCGAGTTTCAACCTGACAAACAGCTGTAATGATTACATCTTTTCTAACCCTTTTGACTTTGTAAGTTCGCAATTAATTCCTTAAAATATGTTTCTTAAACGATTTCCGCGCACGAAAAAAATTATCTTCTGTCGCTGCGTACTTTCTCAAAACCCCGAAAAAAAGATGTAACCAAAAACAAAAACAAACACGTTTTTCTTTAAATTTTATAAGGTGTTGTACGAAAATAACTTATATTAGAGTACTAGAAAAATTTATTTGGTTATTATTCAAGCGTAGATGGTATGTCCAAATCCTAAAGTTTCGGAGCTAAATAGAAAACAGTGCCAAGGAACAATGTGCAAAACTCGACTCTCAATTTTGAAAAAGCAATATTTTAGATCTTTTAACCCTTTCACTTTCAATTTCTCATCAAAAATTCAACGCGGCATGAATTGAATAAACAAAGTATGGTAATGTTGTTGTGACCTTACCGTWATCGTTACAGCATAAAAACTCTGGCGTTGACGTATCTCGGCGTCTGTAACAAGAGCAGGCTTTGCTCACTGTTACAAAAYACACGGCAGYCAMACAYAAGTAAAGTGTGAAGTTCATGTTGAATGTATTTGATAGAAGTGGAACACTACTTGACTAGTACCCAGTCTTTGTACTCTCCTAAACAGAGGTGGCTGGACTCTTATGATTTTAATTTCCCATGCATCTTTACGGTCTCGCTCGGCTGCTAGTGTATGCTCTATGATTTTTAWCCTCTAAGTTTTTGGATGTCACTGAATATCTGACTTCAATAAGAAAACAGCAATTAACTAAAATCAGTGGACATTTTATTGTTACATCCAGTAGGTTTGTCAAAATTTGTTTRAAATAGATAAAATGGGACTGCAATCGGTATTAAGGACCTTTTTTAATCTTTACAGTGTGATATTTTTGACATGCATTGACGTTATTATATATTTTATCTTATTCATATCAGGCGGCATTGTTTGCGATATACATTCTTCATTTAGTGTTTCAAGAAATTATGAGATGGTTGAGTGGGTCTTTTATTGGAGGTTTGCTCATGCATCGCCTGTTCTCCCTTAGCTAAGGTCCTGCAGTTGATCGCGATTAGCTCGTACAAAGTTTTAAGATAATTGTTTATTGACTACTGCCTGCGTAGTCAGATGAYATTGTTATTAAGGGTCTGTAATGATAACAGACAACTCTACGCAACTATGAGTGTATTTATGAATAGTTCACTATGCCAGTTAGTACTGCAAGTGCTACTAAGATCTGTAACGGCGAACGACAACTAACTCCACAAGGGCAGGTCTTGAGCTTTGTAGTGTGAAGTCTTTGAATGACTTTTTAACACTGCTCCACTCTACGTACCAACTGTTACATGCTGTGCTTTTTATTTTATTTTCCCAGAAWTCTCCTGGTGGAAAAAGTTAAATARGATAATCGATTATTTGATTGAGTTTTTCAAATGCATCGATACTTATATTGCGATAAATTCAATGCAAAAATTATTAGTCAGTAAAGGATTTAAGTTAATACATCAGTGTACATGTTGTATAAGTTTTGCGCAGCAATCAGAGTTTCTTTGAATTCTTTGACTCTACGTTCAGGCAGACTGTCGGGTTCAAGAAGGTTGCATCATCGAAACTGAGACCGAAAGTGAGCTTGGGACGGCAAATWATTAATGTGATAAAGACCGGCGGATTGCATCTGKARGACAAGTCAAAAGATTTTTACCCTCTTGGGAACTAGAATCCATTGTTTTGTCCTCCAGTAGCTGACTTAAGATATTTTGGTTCAGTGACCATGCACAAAGGAACGCACACGAGGCTCCGGGAAAACAATGGATAATTTTGATTTATTCTTTTATTTCCCCGGAGCCTCGTCTGCAATTCTTTTGTACATGGTCACTGAACCAAAATATCTAAAGTCCACTGGAGGCGGGTTTGTAGTACGTATTCCATATATGGCACAAACTAACAAGCGAATAGAAGCACCTAACAAGCAAATAGAACCACCTAACAAGCGAATAGAAGCACCTAACAAGCGAACAGGGGTCCATACTTTTTTTCACTTGTATATTTTTCTACAGTTTTTTATCGACTTATTCCAGCTTTTTAGCTACGCCTTAACTTATTAAAAATTTTCTTATCAAATTTTAACTTAGAATTATGAATTTAACATTTTATAGCCTGACCCGTCCTTTTCCCTAAACCTAACCCTTCGACTACAAATGTAAAGCGCCTTAACTAACTTGACCACGAGAGATTACGCTGGCAAACAACGAATTGTTTGTGACATTTAAAGTATTTTGCATTGCTAATAGCACCGGTAAATTGGGATTCCTTAGGGGCCGCTATTCGCTTGTTAGGTGCTTCTATTCGCTTGTTAGGGGCCTCTATACGCTTGTTAGTTAATACCATATATGGAATA